GAGCTGGGAAAGAGCTGTGTGGTACCACAAATCTCCCTGCTCTGGGTGCAGCTTGCTCACCATTAGCATGGAAACACCTCTGGAACTCCCAAACCGTGCCAGGATAAATTGCCATCAATAATATTATTCCAGGTCTGCCCTCGAAGTTGCAAAGACCAGATCTGCACAGATAGAAAAGCTATGTAGAGACCTTGTGGAAATAAATTCACAGCATTTTCACGTGTGATTTGATTTGTGATTCAGATTTGTAGGGAATCTGTTCTTGTCCCAGTCCAGGGGGTGATGTATTTCTGATTTTCCTCCCCATCCCATCTCAGGGGGAAGGGGCAGTGAGCAAGAGGCTCCACTTCTGGTTCCCAGCTGGGGTTAAAGCACTGCCCTGGCTCCAGGATCCCAGAGAAATCCTAAACACAAACTAAACCAGCTGAGGGCTGGGGTTTCACTGCCCTCCTATTGCCAACACAGCTTCTGGAGCCGTTTGCCATTCTGCAGTGGGAAACTTGATTTAGTTTATTTAGTTTCAGAAAGTTTTATTTAGTTTAGAGCAAAGTTTTCAGTTCTTAATCCTTGGCTAAAAAAGACTCACCCCTTTCATTCTGCAGCTTTTCTCTAAGATAAACAGGCACCTCTTAATCTCTGCTGGTTTAGCTTGAAGTCAGTCAAAGGAAGCTGTATCTGCAAAAAGCTGTACCTACAAAAAGCTGGAGAATGTATAAATGAGGATGTTTAAATCTTGCTTTAGATGTCTTACATTAAAATATTGATTAAATTACGTTGCAAGGGATTATCTCTGATAGGACCACAGTTCTTTTTGCAGTATTAGGAATTAAAAAACAAAAATATCATGTGGTTTGAACAGCGCTCATCCATCTTGGTTATTTTAAATCTTACATATAACATGTTTAATTATACAGAGAAAATTCCTGTGCATCCTGGTCCATTTTTTCTTTTGTTTGAGTAATTAGAGTACAAAGTGGAAATCTTTTGCAATTTAATTTTAAAAAGTTTTTGTTTTCCTGTTTTCCTGTAGTGAGGCTGGGTTGAAATAAAAGACTCAACTTTCTAGCAAAGCTCATTTTTCATGTTAATAAATTAGAATATTTAATGCCATAGTTTTTCTAAAGGAGTAATTCAACCTGTAAAACACAGGAGAACTATACACAACTAATTAAGGCCTCAGATAATACAGGAAATCCTGACATTTTAATTTAGAAGGACTACTTGGGTCTTCTTGCAGAGTCCTCTCTTCTCACATCAGAAAGGGCAGTGAGAAAAGTCAGGTTTAGTAAAGAGTTGTGGCAAAAATGGGAATTATTTCCTAATCTAATTTTGGAAATTGGAGCACCTCTTTAAGTTATGTCCAGAATGTTATCTTCCTTCTTAAAACCTTTTATTAGGCAATTATTTCCCAGTGAAACAATTCTGAAAATTCCCTTTGTAATCCCAACCCAGTATCAGGTCAATACTGGCTTTGGATTGGTATTTTTAAGCCTTGGTAATGCAGCTGTACTTTGACCCAGAAACCTATTTCAATCTGCTGGGTGGAACCACGACTTTTTAAACATCTGTCTGGGGGTTCTTCCACATGTGAGTAGTTGCTGGCAATTGAAATGTTGTGGGTAAATAATCCAAAGGCTCGGGAAAAATGTTTTTAAAAAAATTTTGCAAGGGTCATGACTGGGGGAAGATCCTGGCTCAGTCCCTTCCAAGCAGGCCATGGAACAGATTGCAGGTGACCTGTGGGGAGCAGAAGGTCCTTGCTGGAGCTCCCTGTGGTAAATCTCAGCTCAAAACCTTTCCCTCTTCCCTCTTCCAAGGGTTCTGATGCCTTTTGGGGCTACATAAAACAGAGGCCAGACAGAACTAAGGGAATAAAAAGCAGTTTCTATTTATTGAAGGGTCTCCAGGTACATTTTGGGCTGCACCCAAAAATGGCCAATGGGTCCCAGGTCTGACACTTTTCTAAGCTGGGTCCATTTGCACATTGGGGGTTCATCTCCCAATTGCAGCTGCAGGGAATGAAGTCATTTAGGGCAGCTTTGCTGCCCCCAAGTCCCTTTTGTTTCCATCTCTCAGGCCTGGGGCAGTGAGGTGTCCTTGATTGCAGGCCTGGGGAGGAATTGCTGTGTCTGAGCAGGATGGGGAAGCAGCAGCTGAGCCTGCACATGGAGTTTGGAGTCAGGCACTAAAGAACTGCAGCACTACAAATAAATTAAAAACATACAAGCTGAAATCCTGAAGTTCCATCCTCTGAGGAGTCACTGAAGCTGTTCCCAGCGAATCCTTCCAGAGTAACCCCATCGGGCTGTCCTTGTTTTCCAGGTGCCATGAACCGCAGAATTCAGCGAGAAATAAATTTAGCTCCAGCCCAGCAGGAAGTTTCAGAGGCAGCAGCTTCTGCAAGGGATTGTCAAGAACAATCTGCAAGGAGGCTGCTCCTGGCATATAGATCTTGAGCTGGAACAGTGCAGGGAAGGAAGTGCTCTGTGCCAGCTCTCAGCACCATATGCTTGCCCCTAATGTAATGCACAAAGAATATGGAGACAGCAGCTGCTCTGCAGGGAGGTGGCCACTTGTTAGATTTTGAAACCTTTCTGAAGTGTCTGTTCCTTTTCTTTTCACGGGGATTTTTTTTTTTCCTCCCCCCTTGCTTACGTATTTGCATTCAAAAGATGTTCCCTGGAAGAAATCTATTTTTAGGCCGTGTTAAGAACAGGGGAGCGTGATCTACTTTTTGTTGAAATAAAAGTAATTTTGGAAGGACTATGATATTTAGGTTTTTTGTATTGAGAAATGTGGGCAGGTTTTTATTTTCTTGATATCCCCTGGCATCAGGGCATGATGAAATCATATCTATAAATTAATTATTGTCTAGGATTGTCTGACTTTGATGGAAAACTTTGTCTTTCTTTGGGTTCTGGGAGTGTTCCAGTGGCCTGATCACAGTCACATTTAATTCAGTGACAATTTTCACTGAGTTCAGTGGCAAAGAGAAGCATAAATGAGGGTTTAGATCTAGAATGAGAAGAGCTGGATTTAATATGCCCAGAAAAAATGGATCTTCCCTGGCACCCATCACTACCCAGGCGCTGAAGTTGGTTCCTCTGTTGCTTGGAAAATGCTTTGAGTTCCTGGCAGATTTCAGGAACCCTGTGCCTGCAATGCCAGGAAAACAAAGCTTATTTGTGTAAACAAAACTGGATTTTAAAAGGTATTTTTCTGACTACTGAGTTTTTCACTGAATTCCAGATACACCTCACTGTGAGCACTTGCATTTTGAATTAGGGATTCTTAAGTGAATTTGAGAATCCAGAGGGAAGTTACATCACAATATAATGAGGTTATAGCAGGACAAGTTGTTATAGCAGGTAATAAAATTTATGTATCACACTGGCATTTTTGCTGAATGTCAGTGTTTTACAGTGACCCTGGAGTGATGTAGAAATGTCATAGCAACACCAGAGTGACCCACATTAGTCAGTAAAAATGATGGTTCACATAAAAGAAAGATGTTACAATCCTTTCTGGAAGGATAAATCTCTTTCACACAGAGATTTTTTGAGTTATTCTGTGTTGTTCATCATAGCTGCTTCTCTCTGAAAAAAAAATTACATTGATCTATCTGTCACCAGGTATCAATCTTCCTGCTGGTAGGGAGATGGTTCTTTTGGAAAAAATTAATATTTATTTGTTTACTTCAGTTCTAGACCAGTCTTTTATCATCTATCTGACCTTCATTTTTTGAACCAGCTGCAATTGGTGTTTTCTGGGATAATTAATTACTAATTGCTTATTTAAAAGGTCCCTTTTTCCCTTTTTGTGGCCAAACTTGTTGCAAGAATTCAAATCCAGAAGGATGGGTGATTTGCAGCTTTAATCATTCCTTTTTGTGCCCTCATCCCAGTGAGGGACAATGTATGAAATTCCATCTATTAGGAAACCCATTTTTGATGTAAACTGGATTTTAAAGTGAAATTAAATACAGATTCTGAATACAGTCCTGCAGCCCCAATTCTGCAAAATGTGAGGTAAATGTTTAATTCACATTGAAAATGTGACTTGGAGTCTTGGCTTGAGCCAAATCAAAATCTCTTTTCAGTGCAAATTAAAGCTGTGAGATGATTTCTTGCTTTTATTCCTATAAAGGGTGTTTAGCCCTGGCTTAAGGAACACTTTCCTAATTTTACTGAGCATATGAACATGTAAGTTATCAATAGTTTATTGGTCACACATTGGCCACATGAAGTCTGGGGTCTTGGCACAGGAATATTTTGTTCAGGGTGTACAACACTTCCAAGAGAGTTTGTAAATTAAGTGTTCATTCCTACTTTAAAAGGGAATTTAAAATCTTCCTTGTCCTTCCTTCTCTCCTTTAGAAGGACTGAGAATTGGTAGGAGTTGCACAGTGTTTAGCCTACTCCATTTTCTCTAACAGACATAAAATTTATTTGTCTGAAGCAGCAGACTAAAATAATTCTAGAAAGGGGTACATTTAGACAAGGAACTATTATTTAATAGATTTTTTTTTCACTGAGTTTTGTTATTATGGTTAGATGGAGATTTATTTTTACATAAAAAATGCCTGGCAGGACAAAAAGATGATAGAGATTTCTTTAACTCACTGTTTAAGCTGTGAAAATCAGCAAGCCAATGGAATTCTAAACAGGAGAGAAAAGGAAATCCTCTGTTTCTGACAAGTGAGAATCGCCTGGTTTTCAGCCCAAGGAAAGTTACTTCCTTTTTAATGGATTGCCCAACCACCACACGCTGCCAATGGCTAATTTAAGAAAAAAGAAATGCAAGAGACCCAATGTGGCAAATATCATCTAGAGAAATGTTTCTCGTTGTGAGGAGATGCTTCAGGTCCGTTGGAGCTCCATGGAATTTTTACCTCACTTTTAAAAAGCGTGTCTGCACAGCTCAGATATTAAATCGTGCCTGTAACTTACGAACTGTGAAGTTAGAGAAATTAATCTCCAATTTTGATTTCCTCTCTCCAGCCACCAGAGAAAGAGGGCGGGCTGCCCCGCCAGGTGGGCAATAAGACAGAGTGTGGCCTCTTGGGCTTTGTCCTGGATCTGAAGCAGGATTACGAGCCCGTCCGGAGCCTCATCCCCGAGGAGAAGCTCTACAAAGTTTACACCTTCAACTCCGTCAGGAAGTCCATGAGCACGGTCATTAAAATGCCGGATGGAAGCTTCCGCATGTACAGCAAAGGAGCCTCTGAGATTGTTCTCAAGAAGTAAGTGCACTGCATCCCTGGCCTCGTTTTTCCAAAGTGCAAAATATCCCCACGCTAATACGTGGGAATTCTGGTGTTTGGAATTTGCTGCCTGCACTAGAAATGGAGCACACTTTGGCAGCATAAGCTGCCATTATTTTTTTAAAAAAATTTTTAAAGTGTTTCTGGGAAATTGGCCTGTTTTTCTTACCAAAGAATTGGGTCTTTTGGTGATTTACAAATTGGCTTTTGGTGATTTGCAAATGGATTCTTTACGTTCAACGTTTTTGTAAAAAAAAAACTTTTCAATTTCACTGTAAGTTGTCAGCACATTGATTATTGAGAAAATAACTCATGAAGGGCTCTTGGTGTCCCTGCAATAAATTACTAATTCTCTCCAATATTTCAGTGGTGAATCTTCTAGAAATTTACAGCAGAAACTCAAAACCTGACATCAGAAAGGGAAAGCATTGACTGAAATGAGCTTATGCAGGAAATACTTTGGCAGTCATGAAGATTCATACTTGATGCCTTTTTGGGGCTGCCTAAAACAGAGGCCAGACAGAATTAAGGGAATAAAAAGCAGTTTCTATTTATTGAAGGGTCTCCAGGTACATTTTGGGCTGCACCCAAAAATGGCCAATGGGTCCCAGGTCTGACACTTTTCTAAGCTGGGTCCATTTGCACATTGGGGGTTCATCTCCCAGTTGCAGCTGCAGGGAATGAAGTCATTTAGGGCAGCTTTGCTGCCCCCAAGTCCCTTTTGTTTCCATCTCTCAGGCCTGGGGCAGTGAGGTGTCCTTGATTGCAGGCCTGGGGAGGAATTGCTGTGTCTGAGCAGGATGGGGAAGCAGCAGCTGAGCCTGCACATGGAGTTTGGAGTCAGGCACTAAAGAACTGCAGCACTACAAATGGATGAAAAATACAAAAGCTGAAATCCTAAGGCACCACACTCAGTTTTTATTCTCTTCTCCTTGCCCAAACCAGGTGTTCCAGGATCCTCAACGCAGCTGGGGAGCCTCGGATCTTCAGGCCCCGCGACAGGGACGAGATGGTGAAGAAAGTGATTGAGCCCATGGCCTGTGATGGGCTGAGAACCATCTGCGTGGCTTTCAGAGACTTCCCCAGCAGCCCTGAGCCTGACTGGGACAACGAGAATGACATCTTATCTGACCTGACTTGCATCTGTGTTGTTGGCATTGAAGACCCAGTAAGGCCAGAGGTACATCCGATTTTTATCTTATACAAAACTGGGCATAACCTGAATGGCAGGTTTCTTACAGGTTTTATCTCTCTTTTTTAATTAGCTCTGTCAAAGAAGCTGAAAATCAGCTTTAGAAATGGGTTTTACTTGATGAAAAGCCAAATAATTAAGGTGATAAAATTCAGCTATCAGTCAGCTGGTATTTAAATAAAGGAATATAGGGCTTTTTGCACTGCAGGACTGAGATGATCAGCAGAGGTTTTGTAATGCTCCCACATGTTAAAGAATTTTCCTTTAAGCAGTGCAGTGATGTGCAACTCTGAAAGCAGGGAAGACAAGTGCCGTGATTAAAATTGCCATTATAATGGCAGTTTCCAGAGAAACTGATATTTTGCCATTTATCGTAATAGTTGTCACTTTCCTTAAGATTGTACCTAGTGACTACTCAGGAAAATTTGTTTTTAATGTTGTATTTGAACAAGGAAAGGCTGCAGTTGTCATGGATATCGCATTTACGTGGCTTGTAGAAATATATGTAAAATTACAGCTCAACTCCCCTGAGTAAATCAGTAGTAGGTGTGCACATGGGAAGCACATCCCTGCTTCTACACTTGTAAATTATATTCCCACAGAGATACAAAGGGTCGAGTTAGAGAATTCTGATCTCTCTCTTTGGTGCTTGATAATTAGTGGAGAGTTATTAATTCCACGTTAGGGCTTGGAAATGGTGACAGTAAGTTTGGAACTAACACCACACAACCCCAGGTACCGACTGCAGAGCTGTGCCTTGCCTCAAAATGGATGTTATTTTTTTTTTTCTTTCTTGATATGAAGGTTAAAATATAAAGTAAATCTTGCTTAGGTGACAACTGGATGATAAACTCCTTATCTCCACAAAGAGCAGATAAACAGCATCCACTTTATCTGTCATCAGATGGTCTCTTGCTGCTAATCCATCTGTCCCCACGCCTGACATTGCAAGGCTTTCAAAATGTTGGAAAACGTCCTTTAGAAGTTCTGTCTGCAGTGTTCTTTTAATGCTCCAGCTCACATATATGGATATTTTACAGAAAATATTTTGTAGAAAATATAGTTATTTTCAGAAATATTTTGTGACGTGTTTTTCCAGTGGTCACTGGGACTGTGAATCAATCCTCTCCCCCTCCTAAATGAAATCATGATCACGTTAGAAAACAGCTTTAAGTCAGGTTCCAGGTGGTGTTGCAGACTGAGGGATTGGGGAGCAGTGGGATTTGCAGTTTTTATGGAAAATAGCTGCAAACTCTCCTTTCATGTGTTTGTTAGGAGGGTGTTTTGTAAGAGAACTGCTCTTATCTTGCAGGGAATAATTTCTTGGGAGCTTGAGGTAAAAGTGAATAATTCTGCTAAAAATAGAGGGCAAATCTGACTTCTATGTAAAGAATCAAAGTGATGAAGGCAGGAGCACATCTTATTTCCAAACAAACATTTGAATATTGTATAGAGTTTCTTGTAGGTTAACACCAGAACATGCAGGAACAGTTTACTGTAGGGCAAAACGCATGATAAAATATTTGTAATTTCAGAATTTTAGCAAATTTTGGACATTTGGGATTTGAGACTTGGTTTTTTGTTTTTTTTTTTTTCCACCTTGTCCCTTTTGACTGTTCCAAGGTGGCAATAACATCATGAAAATATTTAAACCAATATTTAATTATTACTACTCTGCATGTTGTAAGAAGCAGTACCTTAGGGGAAAGAAATGAACCAATAAACCCTGAGCCAGGAGAAAAACATAAAGTTCAGAAAAGTCTCTAGGTTTGGAATATCTGACTTGGTTGGAATATCATAATGTGCATGTGTGAAATCCCCATTGCTGATGCAAATACTGAGATGTTGAGCAGTCATAGAGAATATTTTGCCAAAATGAAATCTGCTCATTAAATTGACTCCCCACTGGAATTTATGCATTTTCAAAGTGCTTTCTGTAGGGGAAAATAAAAGAACACAAAAATTAGAATTCATACTAAATATTCTCAGTATTCTTGGGTGTCGGATGGAGGTGATAGATGAGGTAATTCCAATAAAAAAGTGTCCCCATCCTGGCAGCCTTTAGATTCCCTTCCCTAACCCTAACCCTAACCCTAACCCTAACCCTAACCCTAACCCTAACCCTAACCCTAACCCTAACCCTAACCCTACCCCCCAACCCTAACCCCTAACCCTAACCCTAACCCTAACCCTAACCCTAACCCTAACCCTAACCCTAACCCTAACCCCTAACCCTAACCCTAACCCTAACCCTAACCCTAACCCTAACTCAGTCCTGTGTTTCCTGGGGAAGGCTCAGGATTTTCCTTTTCTCTGAGGTGGTGTTGGGCTGTCCCATGGATGCTGGGCAGGGAGCTCCTGTGCAGCCAAGGAGTGATTCCACGTGGGAATACCGACTCTTTCAGAGGAGTCCTTCCTCCCTCCTGCTTCCAGGGATATTCTTGGGATACTCAGGGAGTTTTCTGGCACTCACATCTCTCCCATATGCTAAAAAACCCAATTTGAATGAGTTGTTTGACACTGATGTCCAACAACTGTTCAGTTTTCTCTGGAATGCCCACCATGGACATCCAAGGCTTTTCCATATTCCCAGGTTAATTCAGACACCAGCTTAGTCATCACCAGCTGCTGGATTTAGCAAGCACTGAACTACTTGCTTGATATCTATATTTTGTGGGTGTGTTTTTTTTTTTTCTTTGATAAATACACAGGAAGGGAACAAACAGAGTGATGCCCTTCTCCTGCAGAGATTCTCTGTTGATCCTGACACTCTTTCTGGCTTGATTTTAATGAGCCTGAACTGGCTCACACTGATTTGCCAAAAAAACGCCTCCAGTCTGTTATTCCTGGGAGATGAACATAAATCCCTTCCAAATATCTCCTATTTATTTGTCACCTGATCGGGAAAGATATTCCTGCATTGGATGCTTTGTGCATACGTGCTTGCATTGGAGGTTTTGCTTTGCAGAGGGAAAATAAACCAAAAAAATTGTGAAATGTGTACTTAAACTCTGCAAAACTGATGGAAAATATCTGCTTCCTCTGCCCACTCAGTCTGCCAACACTCTTTCTCCCTTACAGCAATAAAAAGAATATGAACAATATTTTAACTGTAATTACTGTACACACTATTAAATCAGATACCACCCACCAGCTGTCCAGAAAATGACAGGAGAGGAAAACAGAATGATTTCTCCAGTTAGATGTGAGTTTGAGACATGCTTGCAACTGGGGCTGTCCTCCCCTGACCTTGTTTAATAGGACTGACACTTCATGGGAATTACCCTTTTTTGCTGCCTGCACTGTAATTTATTTTTCCCCTTCACGCTCCATCCACTGGGCTGCTTTTCCAGATTTCCATCTAAATCTCTCCTGTCCTATGCATGAGGGTCACCACAGCTCCAGTGGGTACCAAAAGCATTTCCAATTGACAAATGGGATTTAGGCAGGATTATTCATGTGGAAACTGGGGAGGTCAGGGCTCATTTGCTTAAGGAACAGATTTAACCTGATCTCACATTCCCCTACAGAAACCTATTTCACATCACTAAAAGCCTTCGGGTCTAAATAATTTTTCCAGGGTGTACAATTTGTGGGGAAAATATTCCCAGTTAGAGGTGAGGAAATAGGAAGATAAATCTCTGTCCCTGAATTCTGCCCTTGATTTTGGGATCTGTGTTGGCAGAGTCCAGCAAACAGCAGGTTTTTTCCTGGGAATCCTGGGAAAAGTGCTGCTCTGAGAGTTGGTTTAAGGTGGCATATTGGAAAACAGGAACTCCACAAACTGCCTTTAATAAGTATTCACAAACATGGTGTGAAATTACTCCAGGACTGGCAGAACCATTATCTGTGGTGGGGTCTGGGGGTTTAGGGTTTTCAGTGCTGACCCAGAGCCTTCCTGGCCCCAGGAAACCCCTCAAAGCCAAGATTTACCACACTGGCTCAGAGTAAGGCGTTTGTCATAAAAGCCCTCAGTGGTGTCCCCTACTTGTGGCTTGTGACAGAGGAAAGGAAAATATCTAGACATCCATAAAATTAGCAGTGTAGTGTTGGAGATGGTGTCTCCTTTTCTCAGCATTTTCTGCACTAATGGATGAGATGAATCCACTCAAATTGGCATTGAGTTCCACAAAACATTTATATCTATGCTGGAGGCTGTGATCAGCAAGGTGCACTGAATACTGACAGAAATATCCATTTTCATACCTTTTCGTAAACAGTTGTGGTTTTTTAAAATATTCTTTAATAATTATGCATTGCCATCCTCTGAGCTGGGCAGTTCATCCCTGTAGCTCTGTGAAGGGCTTCAGCCTTCCTGATGAATCCTGGGGTGCTCTAGACTCTTGCAGGTAAAAAAGAAATTTAGAGAACAACATCCAGGCTGTTCTGGACATGTTAAACACATCCCTTATTCTCCTATTTTAAATAATATTGCTATTTTCCTCTTGAAGAAATAATGCTTTCATAGCAATAATGCAAAAGAATGCAAAAATGTGATGAGACTGAATTAATTGGTTAATGATATTTACTTAGAAATTATCATTAATTAGGATGTAGTTAAAGGGAAGAGAATTTTTTTCCCCATCTGAAACTGAGCTATAGACATGGAACCTTTCTATAGCCTTCATTTACCAAAGTAACTGGATTAAAACATCTTTATTTAATTAATAGGAATCAATCTTTGCTTTTAATTCCTGAAATCCTTCTTGGTTGGTTTTGGTTTTTTTTTTCCCAATAAGATGTGTATGATGCCAAGCCAGAATGGAGCCCTTACATTAATCTCACAGCCCTTGTTCCACCCAGAATTGTGTCTCCATGATACATTTCCTGTGCAGAAGTTTATCTCGTGCAGAAAAAGTCATGAGCAAAGTTAGGCTTCATTTTTATGATTTTGAAATACATAAAATACTAATTTTAAACTCCTGTATTTAGGAATTCCACTTGTTGACAAGCATGGAGTAAGTAGTGCTAAATCACAATAACTTTGAAAATCTCGTTGAAAGGAAGGTTTGGATCAGAAGTAAAATCATTTTCTGTACTAAATGTTTGTATTCTCCATGCATATTTACACGTGTTGAATAGTTATGATCAGCGTGCTAAAGGTCAAAAAAGCTGCAGAGAACTCATTTTTATTCCAGCCAGGAGAAAATGTAAGGAACTGACCTAAAAGATATTTTTTTTGTGTTTGATACAAGATTTGCCTTGCCTGTGGAGTAACCCCAACTCCACAACAGTCAAGTGATGATAGAACACATCTGATTTCCTCTTTCTGCTGCAGGCATTTCTTGGCCTGAAATTTTTCAGGATGGGAACACCTGCATTGTGTTTTATCTCTGATCCAGGAGTCCTCTTTGCCCTTGCCTTGCTTCTGTGGTGCCCTGGAGGGGCTGCCCAGAGCAGAGGCCAGGCAAGGGGAAGGGAATAAAGTGGGCATTTCTTGAAGGCCTTCCCCAGGCACACCTCGGGCAGCCAAAGCCTCCCAGAGGCTGCAGCCAGCACGGACAATGGGCACCAGTTTCTCACACAATTACCAGTTTGCTCCAGTTCCATATCGGGCTTCATCCTCCAATTCCAGCTGCAGGCAATGAAGTCATTCAGCCCCAGTTTGCTCCCCACAACTCACTTTTGCTTAGACTTTTTGGGGCCTGGGGCACTGAGGTGTCCTTGAGATCCAGGCCTAGAGAGGAATTGTGTCTGAATAAAACCTGAGGACAGTAACTAACCCTGTCTGTGCAGTTTAGAGTTAGGCACTAGAGCGGTACAGGACTTTGAAAATATAAAAGCTGAAATCCTGAGGCGTCATCTGCAGGTGCCAGAAGCCATCCGGAAGTGCCAGCGAGCCGGGATCACCGTGCGCATGGTCACCGGGGACAACATCAACACTGCGCGTGCCATCGCCATCAAATGTGGCATCATCCACCCGGGAGAGGACTTCCTCTGCCTCGAGGGGAAGGAGTTCAACAGGAGGATCCGAAATGAGAAGGGAGAGGTAAATAAAACCCGGTGAAAACACCGGAATATTCTCCTGTGCTGGTGGGTGCCTCACAGCAGTAAAGACTGCTTGGAAAAATTCCTGCGTTTTTCTCTCACTAAATTTTTGCAATTCAAAGCTGCAGTGAAATTCCAGTCTTTACTCTTCCAGGATCAGTTTAGTGCTGGCCTAATTTTGCAGTTTTTAGAACCACTGCACTACTCCACAAGAAATCAAAACTAAGCCCATTAAAGCAGGTTTATGGCAAGGAGGAGAAGGAACTCAACAGCAATTTTGCTCCCAAAAATGCCATCTGTACTGAGAACCAGCTCCTCTCATTTCTTTAATTTATTCTACTTTCTCTAATTTACTCGCAGCAATGATTTGCATTAAAAAAAATATATCCTTTGGAACATTGTTAATTCCTCATCAAAGATGGAGCTCCAAGAGAGTTCTAAAAAGGAAAAATCTATGCTGGCTGTTGAGTCCATTATAAATGAGTGGACACAGTTATTTGATCCCTGCATTGATGGGTGGAATCCTGGGAATGTTAATACACACAACAGGTTTGGCTTTGTTCCTGTTGCTACACTGGAAAATCTTGCCATTGTCGGTGCTATATGAACAATTTGGGTTCTTGTAAGGAGTAAAACAACAAACTTGTGAACAGGTTTGATCAGCTTTGAGAAACTCCATTTTCCTTAATCTACAGTGATGATTCTGGGTGGAATTATCCATAAATATGATAAGAAAGTCTGGTTAGGTATTGTGGAAATATTTACCTGTGCTAGCCAGCAGCTGAGCCCTGTTAGTACTGGCCTTGTCTTCACTTGCAGCATCGATGGCTGCTGGAATTTTTCTGTGCTTTTGGAGAAAAGCTGCATGTTTGAGCAACCAGGGGAATTTTTCTGACATGATAACATAAGTTCTGCTCATCACAGGCCTGTGGTTTTACTGTTTGGGTTCTTTTTTTTTGTGTTCCCCACCCCCTGCAGATCGAGCAGGAGCGGATTGACAAAATCTGGCCAAAGCTCCGGGTGCTTGCTCGCTCTTCCCCCACGGACAAACACACTTTGGTGAAAGGTGGGTGCAAACTGCTTTTGTGGGGGTGGAAATCAATGATAACGATGTTGGAGTACATCATCTGCTTCGATTTCACTGTTACAAATCCACCTGAGTTGTCATCTTTAACTGCACATCCCTACACCCCACAAAAACCAGAAACAAAGAAGTTTTCTGGCTCTCATGTTTGTGTTCTACCTCAGTCTCAACATGGAAAATAATTGGAAACTCCTTGGCAGGAGTAAGAGAAATACCAGTAAGATGCCTGGCAAGTGGACTTAGGCAATCTCATATTTGCCTTGTGACTTTTAATTGGAATGAGGCTCGAGCTGGGAAGGGAAAATGTGCATTTGGCGGGCAGAAAGAAAATATTGCTGGGAAACAAGATATAAACAAGAGGGGACATAGATTTTTTGTCTTTTCCTGCACTGCTTTATGAGAGAAACAAGAACAATCTCATTCAGAGTGAATCCAATAACTCCAGTGCATCTCTTCTCCCACAATTATCTTAAAGAGTAAGAGAAAAAAACCTTTTCCTGCCACAGCAGCAGTTATTGGGATGGTGGAACTGGGAGCTGCTCAGTGGAGATGGGGATTCTCAGCCAATTCTATTTTTCCTATAGGTTCATCTAATTGTGTGATTTGCATTGGCTTCCTTTAGATTCCTGTATTTTTAGGATCTGTCCTGTAGGAGCTGAACCGTACAAACTCCATTCTCTCACCATGTTGTCTGCAGATGGAATGCCCCCATTAAAGAGGGAATGGTTTGCAGGGTTTTCTTTTGCTTTTGATGACTTGACATCTTATTCAGTCGACTTTGAGGTTCACACTTAATGGCTGATGAAATCAGGCAGTTTTTGAGCAGGAAAAACCTCAGTTTTGGCCATGCTCAGGTGGAAGCCCCATCAGCAGATTGCTGTTTCCTGCCTTCCTGATGAGGAAGGAGCTGGAATGTTTTGTTAAGGCCTTGGAAAGTCTGGAGAGCCCCTTTCAGCAATTCTTGGAGCTGCTAAAGTTCAGGCTAAGATCCAGCTGGTCACTCACCTGTTTTCAGCTGGTTGTCTACTCAACAATAATCCATGTTTAGGTTTCATTTAGGTTTCATTTCTATGATTCCATACATGACTGATTGCAAGGACTTTTGAGCATCATGAAATTTCTAAAAATGCCGAAATGACTTTAGAGCAGAAGTTCCATTGCGAATTGAGGATTGGATCCTTTGGGCTTGAAACAGAATGTATCATCTCCATCCCACCCTTTTATATGTATATCTTATAATGTACACAATTTATTAGTATGGCAGTACCTATGTGTAATTAATAAATAATATACATTTCTGGGGGAGGTGTGCTCCAAAACAGTTTTCCAGCAGGGTTTTGTTCAGGACTGGAAAGGTTTGGTGAGCATTTTCATCTCCATGGGTCAATGTTAGACCTGCACAAGGTCAGCTGAAGTTTCCTCACCAATGCATCTCAAATCCAGTGTTCCAGCTCTCAGAGAACAGCCCTTGTTCAGCCCTACAGCTGATTTGTTTCAGAAACACAACAATTTGTGTTTCATTAAGTGGATCAAGCAAGTCCCTTAGGAGTGCTCCTCTGAATCATTCAGGATTTTCCCTCAAGAGGAGAAGGAAACTTTTGCCAGGGAAATTGAAACCAATAGAGAAAAAGGAACAACAAATTGTTGATGGTTTGTTGCATACGCACTTTGACAGCCCAAAAGATATTTGCTCCTACTGAATGCCACATGCAAGTACCACAATTAATGTTTTAAAGATGTGACAAGGTTGAGAGAGCAATTAAGTGTCTTAACAAAGTTCAAGAAGGAGTCTGTGGAAATGATGATGGAATTTTTTGGCTGGTAATACTCCAAGGGCCATTAAAAGTTACAAGAAATTATTTAAATGTTCACTAGTTTTGGGCCTCTTGTTAAAATGTTATGTTTTTCCCAGACACTTGAGGGATTGAGAGGATTTTCTCCCCTTTGATGTATTCTATCTGCTCTAGGCTAAAAACACACATCAGAAAATAAACTTTTTTAATATTTAATTTTTAATGACATACAGCTGCTGCAGGGAATCTTTTTTTTTTCCTCCTTAACATAGCACAATCCCACCCAGCAAAAGGATCATTTTTATTTTTCACTTTTGTTTTCAGTGCTGCTCAGGGACCAGAGAAAGGCATGGTTCAGCTTTTCAGCCTGGGCTGACACTTGCATTCAAATATTTATGGCTTTGAAGTAGAGGTAGATTGGAAAAACACCCATCAGAGTGGTTTATCATCACAAACTGCTTCAGTGAAACCAAAATCTCAGTTCCACTAAAATACAGTTTGGGATGGGTTTTATGACACCTGTTGGTATTATTTCATATTTTTAACTCTATTTCAAAATATAACAAATAAAACCACATATTTATACTGGTGTGAGGTTACAGTGCTACTGCTGAAATAATTCAAAATTATCAGTTCATCTTTTAAAAATCCTGTGGGAAACAACTGTTTAACCCTGATGGGAAATATCATCAGAAGGTACAGAAAAGATCAAGAAAATGTTTATTTCCCTATTAAAGAAGCAGTGCCTTACAATATATTTAAATTAGACTGGAATTTTTTTCTTTTTGGTGATATTAAAAACAGCTATTCTCATGTAGGGCTAATTTGTTATCAAACAGAAAGGGAACTTTAGGAAGAGAAGATTTTTAATAATTACCCTTAATTACTAAAATATTTCAACTATTATTGCATGGCATGGTAGTAAATTCATAACCTCATTAATGTGAAAAGCCACGAGATGGGTAGAATAATAAAAATATACTCAAAATTAATCAATAATTAATTAATTAATTAATTGATATCCTGAACTTTGGGGAGGAATTTTCACTTAATTCCCAATGCTGTCTATAATGTCATACAGAACATTTTTATATTAACCTTTAAACTTCTATCCAGGCAGGTACCCAAGCATTATCTGCAATAAATTCAAGCTTTCTACTTCAGACAGACTTTGCAAATTCTTGTCACATTAACAGGGAGCTTCCAGAAGTTTGGAAGCATTAAAAACTAACATAAAGACAGTGTGTTTATGAAAATACATGGTTGTACTTATGTTTAGTTTGTCAAAGAAACACAAACCTGGGTGAGCCTGTGGGGGGATCAGCTTTCCTGCCTCTCTAACCCTGAACTGGGCTTCAGCTCTGAAACCCTCAGCTGGAGCTGACTTTTCCTGCCTATTTTAAACAGTTGGGATGGAAAGAAATCACTAAACCAGGATTTTTTTTTCCTCCCAGGAGTTTCTTATAGGTGCAACTCTAAGGATGAAAAGCAAGGATTGTTTAAAAAGGGAGGACCTGGGGCTGGCTGTGATGGGTTTGAGCAGAGCCACGGGTGCAGAAGAGACATTGTTGGTTAATATTCCCTAAGTTATTATCCTGAGTGGATTTGATTTAATGCTTACTTAGTGTTCAGTGGGAGGAAGGTGGGAGATGTAGGATATATTTCAGTTTTGTATCTTGTATTTTGTGCTTTTTATGGCAGGCTTATGCATTTAGAGCCCTTCTTGACAGCTCTGCATGGCTGTTTCAAATCTGATCTTTGCCCTCATCTGACACAAGCTGCTTGCTCTGAGAAACTTGTGTCTTATGTAAGCTGCAGGACAAATTCCTGCCCAAATTTCCTAATCAAATTCCTGCCACATCAGCGGGATCCCTGTGTGGAGCACTCTGTCATGTTCTGCTCTAGGTGTGCTCCTGGGGCTGTTCAATGAAATTCTTTCTGACAGAAGAAAGTCATGGCCAAGCAGCTCAACATGAGGGGAGAGGCCAATGAGAGAGCAAAGGCTGTTTTGGCAGGAAGCTTTGCTGAGAGTAGAAGAATTCCCCATGAAAACCTGTTTTTTATTGAAATTCTGTACGTAAGCATGCTACTGGAGAAAAGCTGTATAGTTGGAAGACATTTCCTGGTTTTTAGACATGATTAATTAATACTGGAACTTCTTTTCAGCCACTTGGACTGAGTGCAAAGGCCAGGGAATGTTCTCTTCACTGGCAGCCTGTCAGCTCATGCCCTCAGTCACATTTTTCCCTGATCACACCAGGCTGATCCCCACAGCTCAGGACTGCAGAGGGAGAGCCCTTCCTGGGCATCCTTCTTCTCTTTGCTCTCCTCCCACTGTGAATTCTCTCTGTGCACATTTCTCAGTACTGAAGAAAATTCTAGAGGTGAAACCTTCTCACAGCCACTAATTAGAATATTAGAAACCAACCTGAATGTGTTTGGAAGGAGGCAGGTGCTGGAAAGAAGGCAGACATTCAGCAATGTGAGGAAGCAGGGAGGAGGAACAGATTAAGAAGAGCAGGCAGAAGTCAGGGAGTGTCTGTAAAGCTGTGAGAAATCCTCTGAATCCCAAATAATCGCTGCTGCTCCATTTTAGAAATTTGTCTGATGTACAGACAGGAGTTTTGCAAAGTGCTTCTCTCTTGCATGGGTAGCACCGAAATCCATGCCCAGAATCCCACGTGTTTCCTGTGGCACTCCCAGTGGGCACTGCAGGGCTCAGGTGCTGATGATTCCTGAGATGGGTTTCCATGGCTGCGTTCAGGTCTGTGCTCTGGGCAGTGCTGGGCTCATCCTGGCTGCACAGTTGGGATTTTTGGGATAAGAGTGTCTCCAAAACCTTGTGAATGACTGCTGAACCAGCAGCCACTTGGCAGCAGCCAGGAATTAGCTGATGGAGGGCAGTTGGTGGCACAGTCATCAGCACAGTCACTATTTATATCCATTTTTCTCTATTAGGAGCTCACTTGGTTGAGCTTCTTCAACTTGGTTTGGGTTGTGGAACCCAGTTGTGAGCAGATACCATTGACCTCTTTGGAGCAGTTAATGCCTTAATGAGCCAGAGATTTTAATGACCTTTTTTTTTTTTTCAGAAGCTTAAACTATTAATTTAACATCAAAGGATGTGTTAATAACAAGACCAAGTAAATGCTTTTAACAGTAGTGACAGATGATGTTCCTGTTTATTTAGTTATACCAAAGGCAAATCACCCCAACAAACTGAAAGCTCTAATTGTAAGATCTTATCAGAGTAATTGCCATTTTTCTGAGATCATACTACCAGTGGAAAGTGAATAGGGCTTTTTTTTTCTCATTTTCATAAGTCTGAAAAATACAGGGCACTCACTGCCTGCACAGGGCACTGCAATCTTCTGGTGCCTGATAAGCCTGAACCTTGCCAAGAGGCAGCTATTGCTCTGTAATCTGCAATTTCCTATTTCTCCTTGGTTATCTGATATGGAAGGGATATTTTTTTTTTTTCAGAGCAAAATGAAAGCTTTTCACTCTGGGTAGGTTTGGATAATTGTTTTTGGAGGTAACAAGTTTGTGCAAAATGTATTAGCAAAAGGAATTCTGTCATTTTTCTCCCCTAAGTTATCAATATGGAAAGGTGTCCTTGTAACCTACACAACAATTGTGTGTTCTGGACACTTACTCAAATGGACTCTGACACGGAAATAGAAATATGAATGGTGAATGATCTTCATCCTGTAAAAACCTGGGCTGCTTCTGTAGCCTCTGAAAAATTCTTCGCTATTTTCTTGACTTTCCCTATTTGTGTAAGTGGAAAACGATTCCCTGCAGCCTTGTTGTGTGAAAAACTTGATTCACCAAGTGAAAAGTGTTTTTTATTTCTCTCAAATGATCTCAAGATGAAAGTAGAAATTATTTTATTATGTCTATTTATTAAAATGCTTGGTTTCAGAATTTAAAAGATTGCTTTATGTCTCCTTAATCATTGTTTGGCAGAACTGAACATGTCTGCTAAAATTCTCCTGCTAAATGAAATTCATCAATGACTTTTGTTATCTTTAGGTTAAGAAAGCCTCTTAGCAAAGCTGATATTACAGTTGGGTTCCAGTTTAGGAGAGCCCTAAACATGAACTTAAGTTTTTAGCAAACCCTTTCCACCGATCTTTGATCAGTGCTGGGCTGTGACACAAAATTTTAAATAGCAAGAATCTGCCAAAAGGACATAATGAGCTGCTCTCATTCCCTTTGAAGCCTGTGCAGGTTTTGTTGATGTGTTGATGATGCAGGATCAGAACTTTCCATGTAAATTCTAATGGTGATGTTTAGTCGTGAATGGTGACGATGCCACAGCTTTCATCATTATTTTCCTTAAAGATCTGCCTTTTTAATCTCCATAAAACCGTGGTGTTATCCAATCTGTGTTATACAGACCCTGCTTTTTTACAGGGATGTTTTATCTTGCTAATTATTGCCTGTGAAAGTCTGTAAACACACAGCCATATTTCTGTTTTTTGCAGGTATTATTGACAGCACACAGGTGGAACAGAGGCAGGTGGTAGCTGTGACTGGGGATGGAACCAACGATGGACCAGCACTTAAAAAAGCTGATGTTGGCTTTGCAATGGTATAATCTTGATGTTTGTGCCATTATGAATTTGCTTTTCCATTCAATAAATGTGAAGTTGCTTAGTTATTACTTGTCAGTGAAGGAATATATTGGTGGGAAGGAGTTATGGTGACTCAGAATCCTTTAATTCACTTGGATTCACTGGCATTGCTTATTTTGATACTTCCTGAGGATTTATCTAATTAATTATTTGCTTTATGCAGAATCCTGTGCCCATATAGAAAAATGAACTTATTCTTCACAACACAGGAGTTCTCTTTTGCTGTGGTAAAATCCACCACTAAATGGAAAGGTATCTTCCATACATACTCTGACTATATATAAAGAAACATAATTCTCATTTTTTGTCACCAGTTCTGTTTGTGGCTAATCAAAAAGGATCAATGACAAAAGTAACCCAGATAATCAGCACTCTTTAAGCTGATAAAACACCCAGGGCCATCGCCACACGAATTCCTCCACTCTCTGTCAACTCCCTTTTCTGAGGCCTAATTCACTTTAAAACCAGGCCGAATGCACAAAGTCCAGGCAATATAAAAACTGTGGGCTCTGGCTATGAAGATTTGTGCTGTCCAGCAGGAATCTCATTGCCAACCCCTTTCCCCAGGGCATCGCTGGCACGGACGTGGCCAAGGAGGCCTCGGACATCATCCTGACGGACGACAACTTCAGCAGCATCGTCAAGGCCGTCATGTGGGGCCGCAACGTCTACGACAGCATCTCCAAGTTCCTGCAGTTCCAGCTGACCGTCAACGTGGTGGCCGTCATCGTGGCCTTCACCGGCGCCTGCATCACCCAGGTGAGCAGCTCCTGCCGCGATTCCTGCCACGATTCCTGCCGCGATTCCTGCCACAATTCCTGCCGCGATTCCTGCCGCGATTCCTGCTGCGATTCCTGCCGCCAT